TCTTTGTGTTTTTACCTTATCTCAATAAATGCTTATAGATAAAAGAAGGAAATGTGATGACACTCTTTCAAATGTGCATCCACTATGCAAAAAACATAACAAAAACCTCAAATTAATCTGCTCTTAGCTTTTTTGAATATGAAAATCAATAAGTATGACTGTATGTTTAATCCAGTCTCAGTTACTCTGTCCTTTGTAACAGAAAAGTTCCTAACACTGGTTGAAATGCTATTCTATTGTAAAACCTTTCCTGATTAAACATGGCTATCTCTGAACTTTAATCTTCTATGAATATCTTTAAGAATGTACTGGATTTGTACTGCTCATTCTGCCATGGATAATGATTTTAGAAATTCTTAATTTACCTCCCCTACCACACTATAAGTCTGTAAAGATAAACTAGTATTTATTTTTATGTTCTACCATATATACTTTTTTTAAAAATTTAATTTATTGGTACATTCTAGGTAGACAGTACAATTACATTCATTACTGGGATCTTGTAGCTTTACATGCATGTACTTTCATACAGTGAAGAGCAGAATAAATGGGTGAATGGGTAAAGGAAGGGGACTGAAGGAAGGACAGGGGGCAGTAGCAGAAAGGGACTCAACTAAGAACCAAGACAGGACCATGTTTTCTAACTAGTTGCTTCACTTTTCTTGGCTTCAGTTTCTTTAGTTACATCTAGGTATCTGTCACTTAAGTTCCTTCGAGTGCCAATGTTTTGTGTTCCCAAGCAGCCGAAGATCAAGAATGCAGATTGATGTATACATAAGTATATCTTTTCATGAGATTTGGGGTTAATGTAACATTAAATTAGTATGAAAGACTTGTCCTCATGAAATATCAAATCACACATTATACCACACCAGTTCCCCTCATCTAGCAAAAGAATTTCATGTATATCAAACTCAGACATTTTTGAGGACAGAGGTTTATTGTTTTACATTCTGAAATGATGATTCTACCTTTTTTCTGTAACTCTAGGAGACTTCCGGATTTACCATAAATTTTAGTCCAGGTAGTTTCAAGTATAAGAAAGTTTTTATTGAAATTCTGTTGCCTGAAATACTGAATGTAGAGGGAAAAAAGGTGTACCAGGGTTTAAATTCACAGAAACCTATTTAACCCACAATAACACAGAAATACACTAACTGAAACCACAGTGATCCTTTAAATCCTGACAGAAGGGTAGAACTGAGCAAACAGAGTTCAGCAACAAAGAAAAGTACAGCTATTTGTATATGTCAACTTATAATTAGAGGTTTTTACAACAATGTACATGGACAAATAGACCCAATCTATTAAATTAGCTAGCATGACTAAAATGAGCCCTAAAAATACATATATATATAGCAATTCCAAAAACACTGTGCTATTTTATTTTTGATGTATTTCTTATATTCTTTAAACAATCATAAGCACGTCCCAGTGTGTGTCCCATGAAAAGCTAGATTGCTGAAAGCTAATGGCATTTTCTATAAAAAGGCATCATACGTACCCCATGATGGAGCTGGCTACACAGAGTTAAATACCTTTTTTTCTTTTCTTGGTGTATTTAACATACCAAAGGACAATCTGTACCTCTAAGGGGAACAATTAAAAACACAATATACAATAGTGTCTAAAGATATTTCATTACGCAACCTTTTTCACGGTCATCTCTCAAGACCAGTGTCTGCGTAAGTATGATTGGGAAACTGAATTATAAAAGGCTAGAAGTGCTGAATGGAATGCATTCAATTATATGAAATAACTCATTTCTTCATTCAATTAATGAACAACCCTACAATCACAGAAATGACTAGTTACCAAAAGGAAAAGAAAAATTAATTTTACTGTAATTAATGAATGGACCAGAAGAAAAAAATGAATCAAACCTGGAGAGACCAGGCACAAGGCTCTATGGTGATGCTATTCCAATTCATCGCTATGTTCCAAGTTTTAATACAATAAAATACAGAACTGTTTCATACTAATTGCCAAGTGAAGTGCCTAAAGTATACATGTACTTCACTTGAAATTAAGATTTGTTCTCTTACTCCATACTGACAATCAAGAAGATAATTCTAGAATTCACAGATAGAAATACTAACTCATCCAGCATAACAGCTTTTTATTTCCTATATAAAACACTTCAAAATATCTAAATGAACATAAAATGTACTTTCATGGGAAATTATTCATTACTGAATCATTATCAACTCTTGTTAGAAAAATTTTCTCATTTTTGCAATGTATAAAATCATTAGACTATTTGAAAGTACCATCATAAAAGACAGCGACACTTTATAATCCACTATTTCTTCAGGCAAATGTGATTATGGCTGAACATAATATTCAAAATAACAATATTCCCTAGATGTCTGATCTCTCCCCCACTTAATGGTATTTTTATATGTTGACAGCAATGATAAAATATTTCTGCTTTCCGATTAGCTTTAACTGTTTGTGAGCATTCATCACTTACAGGATCACTCTGAAGTGTTACCTGTTGTGACAATTAGGTGTCAACAGCTCATATCTTTCTACTACTGCCATATACTATCAGCAGAGCTGTCACGAGGTTTTCAGACTGAAACTTCCTTAAATTATCAAACAGCCACAAAAATGAATTTGTATATTGTTGTTCTCCTGCTATAAACCCATATAGTTGGGTATCTACTGTTCAATTACAGCAGCTCATATCAAAGCTGGATCGCTTGTTCCTATATGAACTGCACTACAATTTAAGAAACATTCATCTCCAAAAGCAATCTATAGCTATTCAAATTGCTTAGAGTAAGTTGTTCCACTGATATAAGTCACTTAATCATTTTTACTGGAAATAAAGGAAAGGAAGCATGGTAAATCAGACATTGCCAATGACCAGTGAATCTCTTTTGAATATATCTGCTTCATGATTTCAGGGTTATTTCTCTCTCTTTAGATAAAAATAAACATTTAAAACTTAGGTAGTTCAAACTCACAATGAAAATGTATGATCTGTATAGGTGCACTTGATTAACTAACTATACAAAGCAGTTCAGATGAATGCAGATAGTTCAGATGAATACAGGAGTTTTTTTGTTTTTTGTTTTTCCGTTCCCCATTTGAACAAGGAACAAATCAATGTGTTTTCAAATCAGAATTACATAAAAACTTATTTTGGATGTTGATTTAATGTTGGGTATAGGTGAAATTTCGATAATTATCTGAAAATGGAGAAACTAAGCATATGCTCATAACTGCTCTAAAAAAGAAAATATTACATTAAACTGAATTACAGAAATACTTTTAATCACAGATACAAATATCTCCTAGGCTTCACTAATTCCTACACCCGCTCCATAATTTTAATGGTCATCTTGGCTCAAAACTATGCTAATTATGCAATTCCAATGGGCCGAAAAGTCTCTTTGAGCAAAAGAATGAAGAACATAAATGCAAACAGGGAAATTTCTCATTTTTTTCAAAATTCAGAGTAATAGCTTCAATTAAGGAAACATAATGCAATTCAAACCAGTAGAAACATGACTTAAATTTCTCCTACTATGTGTAGTATAACTTAAATCTACTTGGAAAACAGTTATAATGTAAAAAGGAATTTATGTGAAGTTTCTAATCTATTTTACTTTGATGGTAAGCTTAAAAGAAAATCTAAAACTAAATTACAAAGATTTCCCTGACCAAGTAACAATTTTAAATTTAATTATAATTTTTACCTAGAATAATATCATACTATAATTTTCATTTGTGATTATGTTGAAACAAACTGTGACTTTAAACACAGGTTTTACTGCTGATTTATTTTTTTAAACTTAGATCATATTCAATGATTCTACCTTTAAACTGTCAATTCCTTAAGCAACATCCACACTAGAATATCATACTCTTCCTCTTTGCCTCCTCAATGCTATAGAGGATAAGGGAGACACAGACTGTGCAGTGCAAAATCATTTAGCATAAAGAATCTATAGACCATCAACATTATAGATTTGGATAATCTACTTAGATTAGCATGGCTGTGTCTCAAAAGGACAAGTAGGTCACATCTTTAAGAAATAAAGTAATGAAATCAATGTCATTACACAAACCTTCCATATTTACATGATGCCAGTGACAAGCACTAAAACAGGTTAAATAAAACCTTTGTAGCCCGGAGTTTAGCTCAGTGGTTCTGCTGCCTCCCTCATAAGTACAAGGTTCCAAATTTAATCCCAAGTACCCCACCCCAAAAAACCAACCTTTGTAATGTGCTCAGCCACAGCATTAAGCAAGAAGGAAAAACAATGCCATGAACCACAGAGATTCTTTTGGATTAGGTTTTACAAAAAGATCAAATAAATGCCTTTTTTTTTTTTTTAATAAAAGGCATCCAAGCTGGGGCAAACAAAAGAACTTGGGCTTGAGGCTGAACAACTTTAAACTTTCATTTGAAAAAGAAAAGGTAGGGAGAGACAGAATGACTCACCATAAAGGCTTTGCTAAAATATAAAGGTGTAGGTTACAGGTCATACTTTCAAAGTGTACTTCATTTTTGCAGACTAAAACTTTAAACAACCTCAATTTAACTCAAGAACTTAAATTGTACAACATCTAAGGGTACAATGAAGTTTTAATCAAATAGTATCAAAAAATACTGTCCAGTCTGATTAAAATTTGCCTAATATCACTATTCTGTCGCATTTTTCCTTACCACATACACACAACTGTTGAGGCAAATAGTAAACACAATGTCCGTGAAATAATGCTTTTCTATCCCAGAAAACACAAGACGCTGCAAAAACTGGCAGTTAAAACATTACTGATTCCTTTTGAGCACCCATAACAATGGCGCTCGCCTCCACTTGCTGATGCTGGCTCTGCAAGCTGAAGATAGAAATCTCCGAAAGGCCTCCAGATACTTGGGAACATCCTTCTAGATACTTACGTGTCCTTTTGGAAAAGGGAATAAAAACAACTTCCCTGACCACAGAGGCTTTAAGAAGACTATTTGCAGACAGTCACAGACTTACCCATCAGATTTGAGTTCGTGAAGGGTGTTGGGGACAAGCCTTCATGGGCTCCTAATCGACTGTCATTCAAGTGATCACTGTAATGAGGGCTGTCTGTAAAACCCTGGGGGGGAAAAAGACCAGAGTATTAAAGAGATTATCTAGAGCCTTGCTAACTGAATACAATGACATTCAGCTAGTTAATATACAAATGTAAAAAAGTCCTTCCTAACCAAGTTTCTTGTTCATTATTTCAAAAACCTTTCATACCTCTTAAAATTTTAAAGTAAAATCACAAACTTTTTAAAAAATATTAAAAGAAAAACATTTCTGAAAACAAACACTATGAGTTCGATGTTTTCAAAGTATCAGAACTTTGGATGGGAGAAGGGCTATAAACATTCTGTAAACTATTACTAAAATCTCCAAGATCTCATTACGTCCCAAAGGAAAGTTCTATGGATCATTAAAAAGTAAAGGATGGACTAAGAAAAAATATTTTTGGTTGTAATAAACTGGAAAAATGCTTATCTCTATTTTTCTGTTTCTCTGCCCCCATGCTATACAAAGGGTTAGGCAATTACAAGTTGCATCTGAAATATTAAGAATAATTTACAATCAATATGCTGGAAATCATTTTATAAGTGGCAAACATAGGAACAAAAAAGGTCTGTTTATACATGTTTAATACTAGTATAACAAGAGACACTTACAAAAACTGAGCAATGCAAAAAGAAAAACATGTAATAAAAATAGCTCAATTAAATTCTAAAGTCTAAAAAATGAAGTTGCAAACACCACGAAAACAATAAAGCTAGTGCTATTATTTAACAATAGTTGTTATTAAGTTTCTCTTTATTGGTCAACACATGGTTTTTTAAAAGCAAAGCAGGGGAAATAAAGTTTTAAAAATCCCTGAGGATTAAAACCTGTCCTGGTTCTCTTACACAATTTACAGATTCACCTCAAAAGTCATTGTTTCTAAACAAGGCTTTGATACTAATTTATTAAAATTGCAGGTGATATCTACCCCTCTGCCAATTTAAAACTACCACAGTCAAAGAGATAAAAATTTACAAGTGGCCAAGTAAGAGTGAAAGCTGCCCTGGCTCACAGAAACCAGAGAGCATCCCCCAATCTCCTGGGAATATAATGTCATCAAATCACTGAAAATTTATCATTATCCAGGGTGCAGGCTTATATTAAAATAGACATGAATAAGTTTGAAAGAGGCCCCACTATCTCTTCAGGCATGTCATTATTTCAACCAGAGGGCTAGAAACCTAGGGCTAAATAACTGAAATTGTTACAACTGGATGTCATGACACAACTCCTTCTGCTGTTCACTTTTAAAACCAGTATTATAAGAGTACTAACTCTCAAATGAATCTATTTCATCTTTATTTACTTTAGAATCACCGATGCACATGCAACAGACATTCAAAAATCATCTTAGTGACATTTACAACTTGGTTATTACCATAAGGGTGTTCTACAGTAACTGCACAACCTGTCACACTTATATGCAACAAAAGGTATATAATAAAATAGAAGGGCTCCTAGAAAAGAGACAACTCCATAGAGGTTGGTTTTAGACTTAAAACAAACACTGTTAAAAAGCTAAATGACATACTACTATCTCGTATGTATCTGTGCATTCTCTCTGCCAACCTTCCATCCATTTATAAGGCACAAGATGTCAAAACTTGTAAAACAGTCTCTGAAATATTGCTTATCATGCTAAAATAATATTATTCTAGAAAATGCTTATTGTAATGTAAGTAGGTGCACATTGCTCAGAATCCATGAAAATGATAATGATGAAAATTATGCTCTTTTCTTCTTGAGTATAATAAAATGAGCTTTTTGCCCTGCAGAACTAAATAGGATTTTTTCAAAAATTATTTTCTAAGCCAGTTTCTTAAAAATCCCTAAAATTTACATCAATCTGTGGTGTCATCAAATTATCATACATGCAATCATTAAATTTATAAATTATAATTTAACATGATAATCAAAAGCCAGACTGCTCAGAGAACATGACAGTCACTTTACTTACACCAATACAAAAATAACAATAAATAGTGTCGTTTATCTATATACACTCACATCCTGGAGGACATATTATAGAATTTACTACAAGATTTTTTTCCTTATGATAAACCATTCCTAGACAATTTTATTTTTAAAAACTGGGTCCGTCACACTGCACCACAGAATAAGGAATCTACAAATTTTTTTTTTACATATCAGCAAGATTTGAATATGGGTCCTCAATATATGTGTACTCATAGATTATATATATATATATATATATATATATACACACACACACACACACACATATATACATATATATCCTCATACTAATTATTAGTAAGGAATAATTTTCACATTCATCATAAAAATTAAATAGAAATTTAAATATTTTTCCTGCACCTTAGAGGTTCATCTTAATGAATACAATTTTCTTTAAAAGCTACTGCTCTAGTAGCAAAAAAGGGACAGATCATCTACAGATGAAATTGGTGCTGGGGGAAGGAAGAGTGATTAGACTTAACAAATGTTTATTATATTTTCATACCTATATACCAAAACCTCACCTCAAAGACTGAAATTACTTTTATCATTGCTTCCACATAGCAGTAGTGCTACTTATGCAAAAGATAACTTTCAGTGAACATGAATATTTACAAAATTATTTACAATCACTTAAATAAATTACAAATCACATATTTAAAGATCAATTCTAAAAAGTTACAGATGATACCTAGCTCTGTGCTCCTCAATCTTTCATATTCTTATTGTAAAAAAACAGATGAAGGGATTGATTAAGAAATTAATTAGTAAGAAATTTGGAAATACACATCACCTTTACATACAGGGAGGAAAAGTACAAGTATACATGGATAACAGCTAGGTACCCTCCCTACTGCATCCTTGTAAGAAACTCATTAAAACAATGTAAGTTTCCAGCACAGTATAAATTCAGAATGAGTATCACAGCTATAGAAAAATCCAAAGCCATTAGAGCAACAAAACTATACACACACACACACACACACACACACACATAGAGAGAGAGAGAGAGAGAGAGAGAGAGAACTAGAAGGTGGTTGTCAAATAGAGCCTCAATGAAAAAACGGGTTAGCTGACTGGGAGTCTGTACCTCAGATCGCTCAACTATCATAGTTACAGACCAAGCACGACTGCTGGAAGTACAAAAACAAAGGGAAGAGCACTGGTGCACTCACAGGGCTGACAAACCAGTAGGGAACAAGGCAAAAATAAGGCAGAACCCTCCAAGGCAGGCTGGAGAACACAACAGGAAGATGATAAGCTTAAGAAAATGTTTTACTTTTCTCATTGCTGAGACAAAATACCACACAAAGTTAAAGGAGGAAAGGTTTATTGTATGTCACAGTTTATAGAGGTTTCAGTCTATAGTCAGCTGGCAGCAATCAGCATCACACAGGATAAACAGTTCATGGCAAAGCAAAGTAGGCAGAAGGTAGCATTTAACAAGCAACAATTAGCAACTCTCTTTTTGTCTCTTATATGTTATCCAGGTCCTTAGCAGGTAGCACCCACACCCTTAATCCTAGCATCACACCTGTAAATCACTCCCAGAATTGCATCCTTGATCCCAGCAGCACACATCCTACATCCAGCCAACTCCCAAAAGCCCCACCTATGACCCAATAAAACTTTGGAGGGAAATCTAGATACAAAGCATAACAGGAGTGGTTGTGTGACAAGGACAGAACAAAGCCAAGCAATTACCACCTGATTTATTTCCTCAAGCAGATCAGTCAGTTGGACTAGCAAATGGATACTGCTTTAATTTTGGAATATAAAGGAAGTAAAGCAGTAAGGTCTAGAAATACAAAACTGTCACAGTACACATTTTAAACTGATAGAAAGTTACTATGCTAGGTGCTGGGAATGCAGCATGATGGCAGAACATTGGCCTGGCATGTGCAAAGGCTTACGTATAAGCTAGCATTGTAAAAGTTATCACACTAATGAAAGAGATCCAACAACCTCCAAAGCTAATTAAGATCTAAATTCTGGTATTAATATCATCATGAATATAACAATAAAAATGACTTTTCTTGTGTGAGGCAATTTATACTACAGAGGATAAATCATTATTATCACAATTATCTAGTATGCTAGCTTTTAGCACATTATGCTACTGACCACAAAAACATTTCCAAACACATTTTTAAAAACTATTTGTACTTCACATTAATAGTGAAAACCACTTGAGATTAATAACTGATAAGTTATTAATAAAAGGTGATACATGGAAAGGCTATAAAAACTGTTCAATTCTATACTTAAAACCTACCTAAATTACTAGTTCATAAATTTATAGTTTCATCTATGAGTACACAACACTTCATAAAAGCTTTTAATAAAATGTATTTCATAATGTTCCCTATTGCTATGTAGAAATGTTAATCTCTGCTATACTACCACAACAGACACAAAATGGTAAAGCAGTTGCTTCCATATTCAAACTAATCTAGCATATAATCACTCAAATCTCTTCTTTTCTCACAGGAATCCAAATAAAACCTGCCAGGTATAATGCTGCACACCTGTAAATCACAGTTACTTATTTGAGAAGCTAAGGCAGGAAGCTCTCAAGTTCAAGGCCAGCTAGGTCAACTTAAAGACAAAGTCTCAGAATAAAAAAAGTAAAAATGGGCTGGGGGTGTAGCCCAGTGGTACAGCATTTGCCTAGCACGTATCATGCCCTAGGTTCAATTCTCAGTGTGCACAAATGTGCACATACACATACACCCCCCCACTATAACAAATCTAGCATTCTTTACAGTATATAGTAATACTCTCCTCTGGTTTGTTACTTCTAAAATGTAAGACCTAAGCTGAGTGTGGTGGCTTTTACCTGTACTTTTAGCTACTCTGGAAGCTGAGGCAGAGTGATCACAAGCTCAAGGCCAGAATGGGCAATTTAGCAAAACCTTGTCACAGAACAAAAAAAATTTTTAAAAGCCAAGGATGTAATTCAGCAGGAGAGTCCTTGACTCTCATGTGTAATATCCTGAGTTCGATTCCTAGTACCACAAAAATAAAGCACTTGTTTTCTTTCAG